AGACAAAAATAAGAATTATCAAAACTAAGGTTATCATCAAGATCATTACTTCACCCACTTAATACTGGGCATTCATAGATCATTACTTCACCCACTTAATACTGGGCATTCATAGAGCATTACTTCATCCATTTAACACTGGACATTCAAAGATCATTGCTTCACCAACTTAACACTGGACATTCATAGATCATTAATTCATCCATTTAACACTAGGCATTCATAGATCATTACTTCACCCATTTAACACTGGGCATTCATAGAGCATTACTTTACTCACTTAACACTGGACATTCATAGAGCATTACTTCTTCCACTTAATACTGGACATTCGTAGATCATTACTTCATCCACTTAATACTGGACATTCGTAGATCATTACTTCATCCATTTAACACTGGACATTCAAAGATCATTGCTTCACCCACTTAACACTGGACATTCATAGATCATTAATTCATCCATTTAACACTAGGCATTCATAGATCATTACTTCTTCCACTTAATACTGGACATTCGTAGATCATTACTTCATTCATTTAACATTGGGCATATCACAGAAGTACTATACATATCAAAAGAAACTTTCTGAAACTATAGGCACTTAGTTCTATTAAACAATAAAAATATGTCATACGTTTAAAATGATACTTTTACTACCAAATGTATCTTAAATATCTGAGCTTTACTTTACGTAGTAGGTTAATATCCCGATGAAAAGGTACAGTTAAGACATGGTGATATGGCTGATATCCTTATGAAGATTAACACTTAAGAAACACCTGTAATCTGGTGGCTGATATCTTTGAAAGATTAACACTTTAGAGCTACCAATAAGTTGGTGGCTGATATCCTTGTGAAGATTAACACTTAAAACATACCTGTAAGTTGTTGGTTGAAATCTTTATGAAGATTAACACTTAAGGCATACCTGTAAGTTGTTGGTTGATATCTTTATGAAGATTAAGACTTAAGACATACCTGTAAGTTGTTGGTTGAAATCTTTATGAAGATTAACACGTAAGGCATACTTGTAAGTTGTTGGTTGATATCTTTATGAAGATTAAGACTTAAGACATACCTGTAAGTTGTTGGTTGATATCTTTATGAAGATTAACACTTAAGGCATACCTGAAGTTGTTGGTTGAAATCTTTATGAAGATTAAGACTTAAGGCATACCTGAAGTTGTTGGTTGAAATCTTTATGAAGATTAACGCTTAAGACA